TCCTGAATCCGAATCCGAAGTCCGTTTCGCCAAATTCGAACTCGGTAAGCCATCTTCCACTAATTTATCACCCGATTCGATCCGTTTATCGTAATTAAGCTCCGTTTCTGATATAATTTATGTTGATATGTATCTGAGGAATTATTGGAAGTTGAATTGAAGATCAAAGGCGTTCGAATGGAATTTTTATGGTCGATCAGTATTGCACGGAAATCGAGGTAATACTTTACTACCTCTTTATGCTTTATAGGACATGTTGGTATTGGTAAATGCATGAATGGAAATGTTTGGTCTCATATGTGTAATTAATGATGTTCTACACTCGATCTGAATACGGTAAAAAGGTTCAGTAATTGATTATGGTTCAGATGACTTTTATAAGAAATTAAGGGATTGCTAGAATTAAATTACAAGTTGTGCTTAGTGGTAAAGAAATCAACCTGGATCTGTAAATTATAATTTATTTCATCAAAGGTTAAATGTTAAAGGCATTTGGATGTGAATTTATGAAAATACTCCGGTAGGGTAAAATTACGAAAATACCCTTGTGTTATAAAAAGACAAAATTGGAATATGGAAGTTAGATAAGAGGATTTTACAGACATATTGATCTGATAAAAATATTGATGTGCATAAGAAATGATAGTTATACGTAGACATTATGGATAACCGGTTTTTAACCCAAAGAGGGTTTATGCAAGATACTAGAAGTGTGTTAAGGGAATTATTTCAAGATCAGAGATTGTTCAAGAAAGCAATTAATCATAAGATCTCTAAATTATATTTTCGTTAAGAGCTAATATCGAACTTATCTGGTTAAGAAATTACGGAAATGCCCTTAAGAGATAGAATAGTCTGAGATGACTCTGACTGAGAAAATACTTAGAGGATTCGTACTTAACTCGATTAAGTATGGATTTAATTGTTAAGATCCCGACTTAGTGCAGGAAAATTTCTGATATTCCGTTTGTAAAGTCTGAGAAGACACTTGACCTGAAAATATTCGAATAATGATTAAATACTTGAAGAGTAATTTATCGGGGGTATTTTGCTGTCAGAATTGTTCGAAAGGACTGAAGTAAATGATAAGATTGAATTAAATAATAAGATCAGATGGAAGGAAAAGATTGAAATACCGTAGATCTGTAAAATGACCAAAATACCCCTATAATGGAAATGACCCAAGATTATCACCAAGCTCAGGAATGATTGGATATCCTCGAGCTCTGAAATGAATGGAATAAAACTAAATACCAAAATTACCAAAATACCCTCATGACCTATACCAAGTAAATGCCTTGGATTAATTAAGGAATCCAAATAAACATAGGTATTGGCATACCTTTAAAAGTAATGGAAAACAACTTAAGTGAGTAGATCAACCCTAAATCTATGTCAATACCTAAATAGCATAGATATTATTGGAATGCGTGTTCGTCTTCTTAAGTTTGGCTCGATGATAATTTTGGAAGTATTCAACTCAACTCAACTCTAGATCGCATTCAGTACTATGAATTGGACGTTTGTTAGTCAAATCAACCATGAAGACCAAATCGAATGGAATGGAAGTACAACATGTATCTAAAATTCAGTAACGTCTAAATTACTCTGAAAACCCCGAAGTAACTGGAATGAATTTGACTGCTAAATAAGCTAAGTAACCTCAATGATCGAGGATTAAGTAAGTGAATTGGATAAGTCTGGAAATTTTGATGAGTTTATAAGATGTACTGTCCTTATGGAACATGAACTACAAATCAAGCACGTCAGTATTTCATGATATCGTGGAAGCTTGGAAATGAAATAAAGATCATTGGAAGATCTATTCAGCGATGATTCTGAAGGTGATCTATGAACAAGAATTTGTGGTATTAAAAAGTAAATACCCTGGAAGGGAAATGAATTGACCAGTGGATATAAATTGTTAAGGTTCTGAATCTTCGTTATCAAGTTGTTCGATTATCCGATCAATTGACATGGATACAAAGGATTCTGAATACCCTTCTGATTATGTACAACTTCTGAAAACTGTCCGAATAAGATATGATCCTGATAATTCACATTCTGAATAACTGATGATTCTGTCAGTTAATGAACTCTTCCAATAGTGATTCTAAATTTCAATATTCTATCGTTAAACTAAAGATTTGTGTTTCTCTGCCCGATAAGATTATCCTGTATCTCTAAATAATATTTGGAAACTCTAGTGTGTTCCTTACTTATATGAATATTTTATCTGATTTCTGATTTGAATTATGTTTTGACATCTGATCTGAAATCTGTTCTGATTCCTAACCTGGATTCTGTTCTGATATCTGATCTGAATTATGTTTTGATTTCTGATATCTCCGTTTACCGACGGAGAAATGTTTTATCTGGGGGTTTATTGTTGGAGGAAGATTATCTGCAGACTCCTCGGCTTTGTGCTCAGGGTCTAAATGGCATGTGCGGTTGGGTGTATGGTTCTGGGGAACCTACACATTTATGATGTGAACGGATGGGGGTATATATATATATGTTTTAAAAGATCTGTATCTTTTTACTGAATTTTTCGGGAACACACTAGAAAACCTGTTCTGATCTCCTGAACCTAGAAATCCGAAATATTTCCATCTGAAATGAATACTATTTGTTACTACATGCGATATCAATGGACCTCAGCTCAACATAAAGATCTGTAAATATCTGAACCAATAAGGAAAATATGTTTATCTGTATCTGCACGTTTTTCAGCATCATCTGGTAGTTCTGTATTACTGAGCTTTTCGAAGCTCACTCTATTACTCACCTTTTCAGGTTAAAAGAATTGTACCAGTGCATCTATCGACTTCAGTAAGGGAGTTCTTCCGGTGTTGTTGCAGAGTATGGTACATGTGATTAGGGGCATGTAATTGTATTTTGATTTATATACGAGTCTGGAAATATGTTTTATTTTTAAATAGTGACAAATGATTTTATAAGTTTACATGTTCTGATAAAATGATTTAAATTTTCCGTTATTTTTACAATGGGTCGCTCCGGTGGCCCTAATGTGACACCCCGGATCGGATTTGGTTACCCTTATCGGTCTGTGGGGGTTACATTTCGTATATCCATATATTTTTAAAGAAAATTTGACTTCAACAATAAATACAACTACCTTTAAAGCATGAAAAACTTCATACAATCATGCCTGAAACAATAAAAAAGGGCAAAAATGATATTTAATAAAAATTCAATTTAATGTTTTCTCTAAGTTTCTTCTAATTTGGGATATTAGAAAATCGGGAAAATAAGAAGGAAAGCAAGAGATCCTTTCCGTAAACAAATAGGATAAAGTACATAAATAGTCTCCGATTATATGATGTTGTTTTGTTGAGTCTTTTAACTATTAAAAATTATAAAATAGTTACTCAATTATCCATATATTTCAAATTCGTTCTTTTTCGTTATATAATTAACAGTCGTCTGAAATGAACGTTAACCTATGATAAACTCATAAACAATAAAATTAAGTTTAAATATAAAAATATATCAACCTTCATAAATACAATCATAAACGATACACATTTGACTAAATCAAATACCATTAAATTAAGTTACAAAATGAAATATATTCAAACATGACAACACACTTTACATAATAAAAACAGAAAAGAAACCTCAAAGTTTCTTTTGAATTAAATTTGATTTTAATATTTTTATTTGTTGTAAGTTTGATTTTAATTAAACTTGATTCTCAATTTTTCAGAATAAATTAAATCATTTTTAGTAGTCCGATTGATGACCAAAATATTGAGTTTCTAATAGTATTGATGTGATAACTAGCATAATAATTCTTATTTATTTCATATTGATATAATCCTATTTGTTTTATAAGTCATGTTAACAAATAATTTAATATTATAAAACTATGGAATACGCTTGTGAGAGTCAAATTTGGATATTTTTAAAGACCGAAAACTAAATTTAATTTATGAAATATAAAAATCAAATTAATAGAAGATATAAATATCAAAAGTCAAATTTATTATTATACTTTTTATATTGTTGCATACTTTAGTTGTTATTCCTATTATTATATCATGTTGAAAAAAATTATATTTCATAGAAGTGTTGGAAATATGTTATAGACATATATAACTTTTTTCTAGTGTGAGTAATGTGAATGGATCGAGGGTAGTTAGGAATAGTCACCCTTCTAAAAATTATGATTTATTATATATTTTATATTTTTATATTCTATTGATAATTCACTTTCGTCCTTTAGAATTTTAAAAGTTCGTCATCTTTTGAAATTTTAGAATTTTGTCATTCTAACATAAAATATTGCATCCATCCCTAATTATAGAGTTTGAATTTATTTTATCATTTTTAACAATATAAATAAAGAGTAAATTAGTCAAGTGGTGTGAGACTACAAAGAAAATAAATATTTCTATAAAATATATGATTTTATTATAATTTCATTTGCAAACATCAAATTTATAAATTATATAAAACGTATGCCAAGTTGGACTTTTGATTATTATAAGAACAAATTCAACTTATATCATTATATGCACGACTTGACTAACATCGGTCCAAGTAACTAAACAAAATGTAAACCCAACTTGCCGTAAGTTACGAGAACTCAAAGCTGGTCAGTTTTGAAAGTGTCTAACCCAGTGTCGTTTATAAACAAAACCAACTAGTTGATTTAGTGAAATAATGTATTAAATTTTTTAAATAAGAATAGATTTAGAATTTTGACATTTATAAATGAAATAAATTGGATTTAAATCATAATGAATCATGATAAAATCCAATCTAAATTAGTGAATCAAAAGATCAAATACTAATGGCTAATAAAAAAATAATTTTATGAAGGAAATAAATGGCGTAGTCATACGAAAGTCAGTTAAATTGCACTGACCATGCAATTGATACTTTGAATTCAAAGCAACACTTCAATTTCTCGTCATGTACAGAGCATGGAATCTAACCCTATAAATGGACGAACTGGGTTCAGAATCATAGCATCATACCAAAACAGTTCCAAATATGAAGTCTTTCCACTTCATTTTTGCTGTGATATTTTCATTGTCGTCAGCCATTGTTTTAGCTGATGCTAATGAGAAATTCGTCCATTGCTTTTCATCTCTTCATCCCCAAGATTCATCCTCCATCGTTATTCATACACCAAATAACTCTTCATATTCATCTGTTTTGGATTCCACAATTCGAAACTTTCGATTCGCTACACCGACAACTCCGAAACCTTTGGTCATCGTGACACCATCCACAGTTTCCCATATTCAATCAACAATCCATTGTTCCAGAAAACACGGACTCCAAATTAGAACTCGAAGCGGAGGCCATGATTTCGAAGGTTCCTCGTTTGTTTCTCGAGTTCCGTTCGTCCTTGTTGATATGGTCAATCTCCGATCTATCGATATCGATGTCGAAAACAAAGTCGCATGGATTCAGTCCGGTGCGATTCTCGGAGAATTATATTACAAACTTGTTGAAGAAGCCGATACACTTACGTTTCCAGCTGGTTTATGCCCCACTGTTGGGATTGGAGGGTACATGAGCGGAGGTGGATACGGGCTATTGTTCCGAAAATACGGTCTGGCGACGGATAACGTAATCGATGCACAACTTGTGGATGCTAAAGGGAGACTTCTGGACAGAAAATCGATGGGGGAAGATTTGTTTTGGGCGATTCGAGGCGGCGGCGGAGGAAGCTTCGGGATCATTGTTTCATGGAAAATACAATTGGTTCCGCTTCCTAAGATTGTGACTTTATACACCGTGAATAGGATCTTGGAACAAAATGCCACACAAGTGGTTCATCAATGGCAATCCATTGCTCACAAGCTTCCAATCGAGTTTTACTCCGGAATCACCTTTGCACCCATCCATATCGATCAAGGCTCCACGAAGAAGAAGACGGTCGTGGCTTCCTTCCACGCATCGTTCCTCGGCACCATCGACGAGCTTCTTCCGATAATGCAAGAGAGATTCCCGGAGCTAGGATTGGCAAGAGAAGACTGCACCGAAATGAGTTGGCTTCAATCCATTCTCTACATGGGACTACTCCCAAACGACACCTTAAACATTTTGCTCGACAGAACTCACCAAAACCCTCTTTTGAGCCCTTCGTTCAAATCGAAATCCGATTACGTGATCGAACCGATTCCAGAAACCGCATTCGAAGGTGTCTGGGAAAGTCTTATGGAAGAAGAAGCACACTCAGCCACCATAAGTTTGATTGCTTATGGAGGCATAATGGATCAAATTCCATCGACTGCAATTCCATATCCTCATAGAGGTGGAATCCTTTACAAGATCGTATACAGCGTGGGGTGGCCGGTGGAAGATAACGGCAGATCGGAATGGTATGTGAATTGGACACGAAGGCTTTACGATTACATGGCTCCTTTCGTTTCGAAATCTCCACGACGGGCTTATATTAATTACAGAGATGTTGACATTGGGATGAACGATGAGAATGGTCAAACAAGTTATGAAGAAGCAAAGGTTTGGGGTGTCAAATATTTCATGGATAATTTTGAGAAGTTGGCTCGAGTGAAGACCATGATTGATCCTCAAAATTTCTTCAACCATGAACAAAGCATCCCTGTTTTACCTTCTTCATCCAAGATGGAACTGTAAAACGTCTCTTCTTCTTTCTTATTTTTTTTACGTTGATTAAATCGTGCGAAAGTGTTTGAACTGCAATAGAAAAATAATTTCAAACACAGCCACATGTAGGGATTAAACCCACTTATATCTTCCTCCCTCATTTTAGTTGTACCAAAAAAATAATAATAGTTTCAAATATTTAGACATTCAATAAAATTTGATAAGTTTAATTATTTAATAAATGATAATTTAGATTAGATTTTATAAAGGTCTATTCTGAGGCGATCCTCTCAATCCAATTTATTCAATTTTTAAATACTAAGATTTGAATTATTGATATTGTTTAAAAAATTTAATATCTCATTACACTAGACTAGTATGTTATTAGCGTGATAAGTTTTATTTTAATTTCATAATTGAGATTAAGAAAGTCTCGTGTTTATTATTTTATATGTGATAATTTTTTTAATCTCAGTTGTATTATTTTAGAATAACACTACCATGTCAACAAATCTTTAAAACATGTGGTTAAAAGTTATCGGACACTTACATTCTCCTAATCTCTTAGATTATGGGTTCAATATTCATTATGAGTAAAATTCACATTCCCCTCTTCTAACTAGGAATTGAGACATGAACAAAATATACACAAATTGAGGAAGAAGGTTCGAGTTAGTCAAACCTTTTCATTCAATATACCAAATCATCTGTCATAATCAATGATAATTCATAATTGTTTATAATTATTAACAAGTACTATTTGTTCATAATTTTCCTTAATCATTATTAATGTCTACAAATGCAGCTACTCAAACCTAAGATCTCAAGAGAGAAAAATACCCTTTAATGACTAGATTGATTACAAGATAGTACATATTAATTAAATCGTTGAAATAAGAAATTTATCCATTTAATTATTTAGTTGGGTCTCCTTAAACTAGAGCTAATCAAACTGGAGCTCAACTATACAATGAAATTTGAAATTTTTATCGTGGAATTAAAACAACTTCCAATTACAAAAATTTTGTTTGAACCCTAATCCATACTGAAAGAAACATGTTTTAACATTTGATCATTGCAACACCGCTACAACTTTCCCGTATTCGGTTAACAAGCCATTGTTCGAGTAGAATCCCAAGTGACTGTGAATGTCTTGATTGTGCCTCAAAAGTTTCGATCAGTGGATGATGTCGAAAACAATCTGATGCGTTTTTTGATGAATTGTGAAAAGGAAAAACTCTTGATTTATCATTTTGGGAAAAATATGGTTTAGCTGTTGATAGCATAACCGATTGTTAAACATAGCAGAAGCTAGGTTTAAAAAATACGAGAGAAGATGAACTCAACAATGAAAAGAAGTGCATTATTATTCTCTGAAAACTAGGTGGCTATTTAAGCTAAACAATGCAAGTAGGATAGCGTAGGTTAGCACAACAGCTTAACCACTTTCATAACAATCATAACAAACATGGGCCCTACTGAAGTTAGCCATCAGCTACACACTAGCGAGGTCATGCGTCAAATTCGATCGACAAAAAATCCAGGGAAGATATCTGTTTTGGGCCATTCCGAGTGGAGGGGGTTGAGAAACATAAAAATCAAAGCACCATAAATTTATTTCAAGCTAAGTCGCATAACTTAGAGCAGTATGAAGCAAAACAAAATGACACCCTTACTAAATCCATCTAGTGGTTAAAGAGAATGTTGTCCTCCCTAATAGTTTTGGGTTCGAGCAGCTATGTCTGCAGAAAATATGTGCGATGTCAATAATTAAGAAAGATTCTGAACAAATATTATATTGTAATCATCCTGATTATTCAAAAAAAAAATGGCACCCTCTGATAACTCCAAATGAGTATATATATATAACCTCAAAATTCACTACACAAACAAGCACGTCAACTCTCACCTGATTCATTTCAAACCCAAAACAATCTCTCTCAATATCTTGTTCCTAATTGGACCCGCCTTAAGGGATCCATCCTCCTACCTCTAAGACCTCTTCATTGCATCCCTCATTTGTTCAAGGCGTTAACCCCTTCAAAAATGAAACGAACTATCCTAATTCTTTCAATAGTGTGTGGCCATCAGACCCAGCAGCTATATCGGAGGAATTGCTGTATGTTGCTGATGGGTTCAACTTTGCCAACAAAAATCTTGCCTGCACAAGCAAACCAAAATTCAAAAATAGGAAAACCGAACCAGTAACGTAAAAACCAGTTTACAAGTACTGGATAACAAGGCAAAATACCAAATTGGCCCTCGGGAGTATCTGACAATGGAGAGGAAAGGGGGGGTATTCGACAGAAAATATAAGAAACTTTAGTTTAGATGACCAAGAGCAGAAGCTCATTTATGAACCCTATGTGCTGATGCCACAATCAGGAAACCTCTCTTTTAGAGGATTCAATTTGAGGAATTCACCATGGTTCAATGCAGACCAAGCCTGTAAAAGTTAAGGCCAGATTGCAACTCCACAATTATGTTTCTCTGACTCTCCATTTTCATTAAGTATTGTGTTTGACATATATTCGGACATTGGTTCTGGGATGTGATCCTAATAAAATTAAAAAGAAAATGAATCCTAATGAAATAAACTGACCTGGGATCCATGCTGATCACATACAACTAATATAGGGACAGGGAAGCGTTCCCGAATAATCACTTGAGCATCAGTCTGGGGTGCTTGCAAAAGCTGTGCAAATGCCTGGACAAAGAAATAAGTTTTAGATAACAATGTTACATACTGTGCATATAATATTGCAATTTGGAGCTTAAAGGACATTTCATAAAGAAATATGACCGTTAGATATATTGGATCCCAAGAAAAACCTTATAAGACAATTATTTACCAAAATAACAGAAGTGGAAAATATAGCACGTCACATAGAAGAAATCTTAAGGTAAAACCAGCTAATAGGTTATAAATCACTACATGAAGGTGGAGAAAGTCAGCAGAAAATACAAGAATGATAATGAAAGTTCACAACTCAGCCTCTAGGAAGAATCAGACATTTTAAACCAGTTAAATATAGAACTATCTTAGTGGCCTCCTCTCCTTTCTATGTTAATGTAGTAAAAAAAAAAGGCCCAAGAATCAGGCATATGGAATGCAATATTTATAAATAAATCTTTAAAGCTCTATATTCAAGGTAGTATGAACAAAAGGAGCATACCTGATGTTCAGGCTGATTATGGTAACCCATGTTGCGCCACTGTGCTCTTGTCATACCATGGAAAACAACAATACTCAAATACGAATCAAGCAAGAGAATTCGATCAGCTGAGATGGAAGCCACATCCAATATTGCTGGTTGGGGCAGTGAGTTGAATGAATATGATATTAATGATGGTTGAATCATAACAGCTGCATTTGTAATATTTTCTCTGTTTAATAACATGCGAAAATAAGCCGTTTCATCTGGAGTGTTGTTAAACACCTGCCACAAGAAAGGAAAAGAAACACATATTCGAGCGTATGTCAATTAGATATTATAGAAAAAGCAGCAAATCAGAAAGAAAAGAAATAGTTACCTGCACAAATTGAGACCGCCGAAGATTAAACATAAAATGAGGAAACAAAGAAAAACAAGGGTTTAATGTGAAAGATGAAGGATCATCCTTCCGGTAGTCACCAAATTTGGAACAAAGTTGAATAAGATTCCGATCTAACCACTGTGTAGCATCAAACCCCTCCTAAATGAAACAAAAGGGAAAATTATGCAAAGTTACTAGAAACAACAGATAAAAGTTTATTGTAGTGGCAACGAGCCTCACAATTAATAGATTAAAAATTACATGGGAGACTGGCTAGAAGGAAAGCAAGTAGAGAGAACCACTAAACTCAAGGGCAAAGGCATAAAGAGAGAGTTCTTATCCATATTCTATAATATCTAAACAGAGCCAGAATGGAAATTATTCAATAAACAAAAGCACAATGAACCAAGTAGCAGGTGCCCGTCAAATACGACAGAGGAAACGTTCAAATAAAAACTACAATAACGATAGACAATTTAATAGAAAATATTTTGAACTTACCTCTGTCTCTATTTTCAGGGAAGTTATTCTAGCCATTACAACAGCTGCAGTCTCTTGATTGAAACCTTGTACTAATTCCTATAAAGGATATATTATTCATGGTTACCATTAATTATTTCCAACAAGCGTAGCATCCAAATAATGATACAGAATCAACAAACAAAATGGGTAGAAATGGAAGAACTGAAAGCAATAAACTAAAATATTTAGATAATTTAAAAAACAAAAGTACAAAAATGAGAGAATATAAACTAACCTCTGAACTTACAGTACTGTCTATCCATTGTCTTGTCACAGTTGTAGCTCGAAGCATCGTTTTACCTTCGGGGTCTTGATAGCTGCAATTAGATAAAGAACATCAGAATACATCCCTAACAAACAAAGTGAAAACCAAATCATAACATATTTAATCTTAAGCATAATAAAGAAGCACCTTTGAGTAATTCATGCGGAAAACCTTGTGAGAAACCGCAAATAGAACTGTGAATTTGAAGCTCCTGGAACATTTGATCACTCAGTTGATGAGATATCAAATAAAACCCTCAAGGAAGTACTCTTGTTGAGGCCACACATTTTCCATGCAGTAGTGTTCCCTTCACCAATGACAGTGTCAGCAACATTAGGTCCTTTCTGCAACAGTTATCGTAATCAGCTCAAAACCACAAATATACAAATAAATGCAGTCCACTGTATCCAACCTTCTCCAAAGATGTTCAAGGTTCAATCACCCCCTGAATTTTGATGTCCTTTGAACAGTTGATTTCTATCATGCCACTAGAAGGGGGAAAAGGAACATAATGAGCGTGAGATTTATAATGTAGCTAAAGTAGTTGATAATTCTGAATGCTCCAAACCATAACATAACCAATCATTAGTAAAGATAATGAACATGGATACAAAAAAAATGAAGCTAAAGCGGGACGTAATAAATTAATTTCAAGGGCACCCATTTTAAGGAGAGAGTTCATTTGCGGTAGAAAGCATTAAATCTGAAATCAGGAAATAGGAAAAAATCAACAATGGTATTACAACTAAATCATAGGTGAAATGTTGGTTGGCATTTATAGAACTCCAACAAATAAAGATGGACAATTTGTACATAAATGTAAATTGATCAAGATGGGACGCTACTATATGGAAGAAAGATGTCAAGAAGCTTTGCTATAAGTTTTAACTGATAAATGTAAATTTATCAACACCATTGATTAGAGAAAAGGAAAAGTATGCTTAAAATGTAGAACAGAGGCCAAGAGACTGTTCTCCATCCTCAAATACACGCTTGAAAGAGTCTTTAAATACAGAATGACCAAAACTTTCAGCTAGAACAACAAGGCCACCTGTTCTTTCAACTGCAACTTTCATTTCAGCAATCCCAACCTGTGAATACATGAAAACACACTACATTATGAAGATAATTTAACATGTGAGAAGTTATTAGCATTCATATAAAATAAATCGATTGCGCCCCTATTAAACAGAATAACTATTAGCATAAAACATTTACATTACAAACCACCATAGATAGAAGCATGGCAGAAAATAGGCCTTACTGTCCTCATTTCCACTACAACATATGTTTGATGCACTGAAATTTAACGAGTAAATTTCAAATGAGAGAGCAAGAGAGTTTCAGAAATAAAAACTGAATTTTTTGTTGTTCAAATCTCCAATTAAAATCAAGGTGTTAATATTGTACTAGCTTAAGTAGGTTCTTCGATGTGTTTATTCAATGCATGGACCTGATAGAAGGCAGACCAGAAATATTAACACATTATGGATATGATAATATGACTTAAGCATATTGAAGTAAATCGACTAGATCTAGCATAGAGCTAATTTAATAAAAAATAAAGAGTTAAATATAATTAAGAGGACATAAAAGGTGGCCAAGACACACCTGATCAAGTGCAGACGCAAAAAGATCTAGCACATGACCTTGGTTGACCAGCTGCTTTGCAAGACTATCATAAAATTTGACAGCTTTCTTGAAATATGGTGCAGCATCCTTATCAAGATCTTTATGGGAACGAACAGGTTCTAACAAGTATTTCGATATCATCTGAAAAAGTCATACAAATCATATAAACCAAGACTGTTAGTACAAATTGAAAAGGAAGATCCTCAAATTCAGAGTGTTTGGTTAATCTCCATTTTCATAATTAAAAGTTGATAACAAGGTATTTCTAAAACTTCAAGGTGCTTAAGAAAGAAACACATCTTGCACAAAGAAATAGTTAACATTATGACACTGAGCTACATGAAACTATAAAGGTAACATGAAAGTTTTTGGAGACTGAATTAAGGCACTTAAACAAACAGGAATAATCTTTACAAGATTGAATCTCTTTTTAACCAAATGCAAGAGTAAATGCATCAACATCCAATGCTAATCAAACATAAAATGCAGTAAATTTTTTTTAACAAGATTCATGTATTGTATTTTTTTAACAAGATTGAATTTCTCTTTTTAGGTATAGGATTTTTTTTAACAAGATTCATGTATTGTATTTTGTTTTGTATTCGTGGTATATCAATAAAACTAATATAAAATAATTTCAAAAAGATGGTTAGAAAATTTAACAAAATAACGTATTATAGTTGGGAAATATTTATGTACTTATCCAATTATTTTATTTAGTTAGTAACCTGAATTTTTAAAAGTAATTATTATATTTAGTAAAAAAATAACTAACAATCAGTTGTTCTAGTAAGATTATGCACTAGGTTCCTTAAACAAGGTCAGTGGTTTAAATTCTGACGTTTGTGAATGTAGTAAATTGAGTTGGGAGAGTCGACCTCACCTCTATAATACCCGATATTAATTAATAAGTCAATAGATCTAATATAAGTGATTAATTAAAAAAGTAACAATATAACTAAGAATATTCTAGTGATAGGCAGCAACCCAAAACATTAGCAACCAACCCAAAGTCAATTTTTTTCTTCGGGATTTTATATCATTTTCCCCTGTATTTCGGTTCGGCCGAAATGACGTGCATTAAAAATACAACACTCAACTTGTTATCTCCACCACTTCCTCTGGATCTGCCCAACCCACTTTCCATTCTTAATCTGAAGGCAAGTTCAGTTTTTTACTCATTTTTTGTGTAACTCAATTCTTTTCTTTTTGTTCGACTGTAAATCTGTTCCTTCTCTTTGTTCGTGTTCAATTAGCTTCTGCAACTTCCTCTTATCCTCTTTTCGATACAAGTAGTTTTCTTGTTGGCTTTGTTAAAGCAAAAAAAAAACTTTATGTTGAATAACGACAATTACCCGTTTCTTGTTTTTGCTTATTTGCAACATCTGCAGTTGAATTGGGTCATCTGAGCTCTGGGATTTCGATTTTGAAGAAAATGAGTCTCTGTGGGAGTGTTTCTGCCTTAAACTTAAACTTCAAAAGCAACAAGATAAGCATGGGAAGAGTCTTAGCTTTTAGAAGTGGTGAATCCATGGGAAACACCTTGAGAATTCCATTAAAAAAGAGGTCATGTAAGGGTGCTTGTCCTTTGCAGGTTCGTTGGTTTTGATGAAAGTTTGGACAGCCTTATCCTTTAGTAATAGTTGAATCAATAGTTTTTACTTTTTTTTTTAATATTATGAGTCAGGTAGTTTGCATAGATTATCCAAGGCCAGAGCTTGAGAATACTGTTAATTTTCTGGAGGCTGCCTCTCTATCCGCTTATTTACGTTCTGCTCCTCGTCCAACTAAGCCATTGAAAGTCATAGTTGCGGGTGCAGGTATCATTTTTCTCTTAATTCTTATATATGTTCTCCTCATCTTTTGGGAAATCCATTTTTTCCTTTTTTTTCTTTTTGTGGCTTCACTGTGCCTTTGTCGTTGCTAAATTCCTAAGAAATTGTTTTTTTCTTCTTTTCATGCTAATGATCTGAATTTTTCCTAGACTTGATTCTGCCTTGTTTTTTTAGATAAAATTATGAATATTTTCCAGTTGAGAATCTCATTCTCTGTCACCGGATTGACTTTGTGCTCAATAATGTGACCGTGTCTGTTTTTTTAGATGGTATGCATTTCAACTCAGGGCTCTGTACTTCGCTAAAATTAGATGGTTTGCTTGCGAGTTGAATTAACAATTTGGCATTTTTCTTTCATAAGAGTCAGGAGTCTATCAATAATGGATTTAAACTGTGGTAGCGGTCACGTTTTTTGTTGCGTTTATCGTGATTGCCGCAATAGCGGGTATCGCGGTTGTGAAATAATGGTTTTGGACGGCACCTTTACCGATATATAACGGCCACTATGCCAACAGTGGACCGCTATTTAAATTCCTGCTATCAATATAAATGTTTTGTTTCCTTTTTACCCATTTTTCTAGTATGAATAAGCTTTTGTTTGAGAGATAAGTGAGAATCTAGATGCTTAGAAGTTATTATTAGACTGTAAATATAGCCCTTTTGAATTCCTTGATTTTTTGTGAATGGCCTAAAATTTTTGTTCCTTTTGTATTTTCTGCATGCCTTTTCCATGCATTTCTTTCTGAGAATTAGTCTTGTGAATGCTACATAAGGTCACTGCAGGGTTTTACTTATGATCCATTACTGGAGTTTGTTTTATCTAATCGACTAGACTTGTCGCTTTTGTATTTTTACAGGTTTGGCTGGTTTGTCAACGGCAAAGTATCTAGCGGATGCAGGTCATAAACCAATATTATTGGAAGCAAGAGATGTTCTTGGCGGAAAGGTTTTGCACTAGTCTGTTTTATTGTTCTTTATCCCTATTGATATTATTGGATCATCTTACTTCTCATTTCTGAAATCTCCTTGTTCATAACATGGGGACTTTATTTTGAGTTCATCTTTGATGAGGGAAACACAATTTAACAGCAAGATTTGTTCAAAGGAAGCTTTAGTTATTTTCTAAATTATGGCATCCAACATTAAATAAATAGTGTTTTCCATGAGAAATCAAACTGCTCTAATGACTAACTTGAGTTTCTTTACGTAAAGTCTTGTATTTGCTTTTCTCTAGCCTCCAATCACTTGCCAAGACAAGAAGGAAAAAGGTTTGAAGTAAATAATTGATCTTCTACCAATTAAAATATATTCATATTCCTACTAGTAAAACATTTTAGGTTTTAGTGTTTACCTTGACATGCTTACCTGTGTAGCCAGTGGGTTCTCTGAAAGTGATTTCTGCTAGAGCTTTAGATGATTGAATGATCACTTCAGGATATGCTTTTATGCTGAGTTTCTTTTTACCTTTTTCCTGTCATTCCAAAGATAAGACTTTGTTTTTATTTTTTATTTTTTTAACAGGTGGCTGCATGGAAAGATGATGATGGAGATTGGTATGAGACAGGCCTACATATATTCTGTAAGTATAGATACATCTTTTGTTTTCTCAGGCTTCCATATGGTCTTCCTCTTTACAGTTTTGAAGGTTGTAGCCTTGTAAATTCATTTATTTGTTTTTATCATTCTTTTTAGACTTGAAAGTTGTAAATACATAGGCTTTTGTAGATTTTGGACAATATTGTCAACCTATTTTCTTTTCCATCTCCTGACTATTTTAATGTACCAAAACCAAACCATTACCTTGCAACAACTTTCTTATTTTTTCTTTTCTTTTTGGCAAGTCGGGGCGTACCCGAATGTGCAAAACTTGTTTGGAGAACTTGGCATCAATGATCGGCTGCAATGGAAGGAGCATTCTATGATATTTGCAATGCCAAATAAACCTGGAGAGTTCAGTCGATTTGATTTTCCAGAAGTTCTACCTGCACCCTTAAATGGTAAACAACTCAAATTCATGGAAACTAAATATGTATATATTTGCATAAATCTATGACAACTTGTTTTTGCTTTTACAAACAGTGTGACAAGAAAGTTTTAAACGAAATAGCACTCAACTTTACCTATTTTCACTTAATGGTTAGATGTGCCCTTCTTTGAAATGATTAATTAATGATATGGACAAAGTTTACTTGCTCTTGTCGCTACTCTTATCTTATAGGTTGGTCAATGTACTTGACGTTTATTCCTACCATTTATTTGTATTTATTGTGAAGGACCAATTAAAATTCTTTACATCTATTCTTTGTAATATATTTTTCAGAATTGACATATTGGACATTACATTTCCAACAAATATTATATCATTCCAGGCTTCCATCCTCCCAATTTGCTCACCTTTTTTCCCCTTAGTAGAGAACATATGACTGAACCATTGTCATCCTCATTGGGTCCTAGTAAATGCAGAGTGATTAGTTTGGAGTTTCTTATGACCAACCTGATATTCAAGACATCTCTTTCCATTTATTGCTAATTGATTTTAAGTCGGAAATTGTCAATTAGTGTTCTGATTGCGTGAAATATTGAACTTGTAATTTGTGCCATTTTTTTGAACTACAATTTGGATTTCTGTTTGATACTTGCTTGTGGCAGAATGTTGACTTCCTCATTTTATGAAGTTCTGAGCCTCCGTAAAATGATACAAAGATGAGGTGTGGTTTGACAGTCCAACGCATTAACTCACCGGTTATGTTTGAACATATTTAGTGTAGAATGTAACCGAATAAGATATTGTAGAAAGTGGGTATGGAAAAGAGAAAGTAGAGTCCAGTGCCTGAAATTCACAAAGATTGAAATTATATTTAGTAACAGAGTTTAATTCACCACAAAGCTTACTAACAGAAATGAGATTGTAAGCTAATTTAGGGACATAAAGAACAGATGGGAGAGTGAGGTCCTTTGATAATTTAATGTTTCCAATACCTTCCACTTTGAAGAGAGTGCCATATGCTGTTCTGACAGTTGAATGACTAGGTTGTGGACTGGACTGAAGCTTTGAAAATCACTAATATTTCTTGTCATATGGTCCGAGGCTCCAGAATCCATGGTCTAAGATTTTTTTGCAGCAAGAGTTGCAAAAGAGAAAATTCCTTGGTGTGCCATCAAACCACTATGCTGAGCATGGAGTTGTTGTTGATACTGAGGCAATTGCATCATTTTTTTGCCTTTGCGTCCGGTGTTGCTGCTGTTGCTGTTTATGACAGGTTATAGGAATATATTTCTAAGTCCGCCAATGAACGTTTGAGTGAGAAAAGCACATAATAGAGATTTTTGGGAGAATGACCACTTGCAATTTCTTGATCTTTCAGTGGTGGATTTTCTTCTTATTGTATGGAGCTGTGAAATTTATAAGACTTCTTTATACCTTATTTCTCTATGTTTTTGTATTCCCTGTTTCAATTCTTTTTATATATTGTTTTCTTGGGTTTTCTTTCTGTAATATTTTGATCTAGGAACAACATTTAACAAGTATTATTGCTTATCTATTTTTGTCTGGTGCATGTATGTAGAAAGCTTTATCTTGTCAGGGCTAATTATGTTCCTCTGGTAGGATGTTGCTGATGTTGGATCCATCGAGGGTGATTGGGAAGCTTTGATTTTGATTGTTTCAATTAAATTAATGTGGAATTTTTTTATAGACACTGAGTTCTAGGACTACCACCTAAAAATGTAAAAATTTACAGTTTGCATCTACTTTGCTTATTTTTCTTATCGTATGAACTGACAGGGATATGGGCCATTTTGAAGAACAATGAAATGCTGACTTGGCCAGAGAAAGTGAAATTTGCAATAGGACTTCTACCTGCAATGCTTGGTGGACAACCTTATGTTGAGGCCCAAGATGGTTTATCTGTTAAAGAGTGGATGAGAAAGCAGGTATGCAGTTTGATTTTTTGGTAAAATTCTCCTTCTGAGGCTAATAGCACATACGAAAATGGTATGGCTGTAAGTTCGGCTTGTTTCTGAGTGAACTTAGTTCATAGTGGTGAAAAACTTCTTCCTAAAAGAGCATTGTTAGCTTGAAGTTTGTTCATATAATGACAATTAATTTGTTGTCCTGTTGTTGAGTGCACTTATGTGTTACAGAATTTTAAGCCTGTTCCAATTACGTGATGCTTTATTTTCTTGATAGGTGCATAAGAGCACATGATAGAATAACAATCTTTACATCTCGATTTGTTTGAAGTTACTCAGAGCCCCTGATGTGTCTCATTGTTTTTTTGCTATATTCATAATATTATATGTCTGCATGTCTGTCCACTGAGTTTAGTGTCGATACTTCATTTTTATTGAGTACAACATGAAACATCATATGGAAAAACTTCTAGATGGGAGAAAAGTATTGCGGAAGGCTTCTTGGAAATGAAAAAAAGAAGAGGAAGGGGGAGGGGTGAATTTCTGGAATTGTATTGCAAAAGAAAATTTTAGAAACCAAGTTTTCATGTGAGAGTTATCTTGTATTAGACGGAACTTTTGTTAAGTGATGCAAAGTGTACCAGTTAATGTATGCATTATCCTCAGTGTACTTTTAAATAGCACCAATGTCTCATTGTCAAGAATGTGGTATGAATTGCATTATTAGCAAAAACTTGTTAAAAGATTAAAGATAAAAAATGGCTTCATTGTTTTTTCTTTGCAGGGTGTACCTGATCGTGTCACTGAAGAGGTGTTTATTGCCATGTCAAAGGCTCTGAACTTCATTAACCCTGACGAACTTTCAATGCAGTGTATTCTGATTGCTTTGAATCGATTTCTTCAGGTATGGTTCCCTTGTTTGCCCCAATGGCTTTATATTTGTAATTTGATTTTGTTGGATACAACTTGAGCAACAAAATCATTAAATGACCCACTGTTGAAGTTAAACAGAGGCTACTTGATTTGCAACAGAAAACTTGGGCAACTCAATTTAGTTTTGGCGCTCTGGATATTTTCCAGTCAATTTGAGATCACATGTTCTCTTGAAACTCTGATATAATAGAGCCTCGAAGCATCTCAAGGCAGTGATGCTTATATTTTGCATTATATATATCTGTCGGATAGTTGTGTTCATTCATTTATATACATTGAAGGAAAACAAGTTATATTACATTACAATATCTTTGTAAGCATTATGAAAATTCATCAACAGGAAAAGCATGGATCAAAGATGGCTTTCTTGGATGGCAACCCTCCGGAGAGGCTTTGCATGCCAATCGTCAATCATATTGAATCACTGGGTGGTGAAGTTCGGCTTAACTCACGGTTAAAGAAAATAGAGCTCAATGCTGATGGAACTGTGAAAAGTTTTCTTCTAAATAATGGCAATATAATTGAAGGAGATGCTTATGTAGTTGCAACTCCAGGTATATATTTCCTTTCGAACATTTTAGCCTAAATGGTTACCATATTCTTTAATAATAGCTGATGGATGTGAACTTTTCAGTTGATATCTTCAAGTTACTTTTGCCTGAAGACTGGAGAGAAATTTCATACTTCAAGAAATTAGATAAATTAGTTGGAGTTCCAGTTATCAACGTTCACATCTGGTTAGTAATGTTTGTTTGGAAAACTTATTGATATTGCAGTTGTTCTGTATCATTTCCCCTGCCTTTTTCTAAATCATTGCACTTTAGAAAAATGGAGGATTTATTGCAGTTGTTCTGATCTGTTAGGTTTGAATTGTCTCCAACACCCTTCTCTGATTTTCATTCAGGATGGAGCATTGTTTTTGTTCAGAATTCTTGCACACAAGCATTTTTGTTGCCATTGTCTTATTAACCACTGCACTCCACTGATGATATAAATTAAATGATACATGCTCGCACGCTATTCCCTATAAGCAGATGCTTTATTTTCTACAATATCATGATACTCCTTTCTTTTTGGGTTTCTAGTCTGCACTATATATATATTCCACCAAAAGTTAATAGGAGAGTCCTGGTGATGTGATGTAGATGATTTCAATTTGCAGGTTTGATAGGAAATTGAAGAACACCTATGATCATCTACTGTTCAGCAGGTCATCCTACTTCATCTATTAGCACTTTCTTTTTCCTGCTCTTTGCTGTATAAACAGCTTTCTTGTTTGTTATCTGCTTGTCACTTTCTAGCTTTATGAATGTTTAGTAATTGTCTATGAACTATGATATTTAAGTCAAAATGGAAGTAGAATACATTTGGAGGAGAAAATTATTTGCTTATAAGAATGTGGAAACGGTAGAGTAGGAATATTATTACAAGTCTAATGCCTGTGCCTTTGGTAACCAAGCAAATCAGTTTCATATTTTTATTGTTTAATACTATTAAGTATCTCATTATAATTTTTCCATATTCATAAAACTTGAAGTAATCCTAGGAGCAGTTCTAGGGTGTAAGGAGGGTGGCTATAGTATCCTCCATTCTCACATCTTTTGTATCGAATTTTTTGCAATAGTGTCTTTTGCACTTTTCATTTTCCTTAAATAAAGTGAATTTCATTAGTATACTTACCTCTCTTATCAACTTCTTTCTTTTTTGCTTGCAGAAGTTCGCTTCTAAGTGTTTATGCTGACATGTCTGTAACGTGTAAGGTAAAGAACTCCCTAAACTTTCTTTTTATTGCCATTGAAGTTATGCTCTTTAAACTACCGTGTTGACTATATTTTCCTGCCTATCAGATATCGGTGACAATATTTACAATCTTCCGAGAATTGTTCAGTGTTTATATGATTCATGTGGATAATAAAATTATAGCTTGTTAAAATCTTAATTTATCTACTAGTAAGAAGAAAAAAATAATGTGATCAGCCGGAAATGTATCATGATAAGTTTCATTGGTAACTTTCAGATCCAAAGAACATTCGGAAATAAACATTATTTTGATTCAAGCTTCCATGAAAGAGTAACTGTATTAGCTTCTTGTCTTAGGTGCGCTTGTGATCAGTAATTAATGGTTTATTGTGTATGCAGGAATATTACAATCCGAACCAATCCATGTTAGAGTTAGTTTTTGCCCCGGCAGAAGAATGGATTGCACAAAGTGATTCGGAAATTATTGATGCTACAATGAAGGAGCTTGCAAAGCTCTTCCCTGATGAAATATCTGCAGATCAGAGTAAAGCAAAAGTTGTAAAGTACCATATCGTTAAAACACCAAGGTTAGACTGAATGCATTCTCTAGAATCTCTTTTAATGTTTTTTATTGCTTCAAAATCAAAATTCTTGTCATTCCTTGAAGTGGTATGTCATGGATGAGAAGTATACGGTTGAGTTGGCTTTCCCATATATTCATATAGACTAGTGATGCATCAATGAGTATAATTGTGCTAGAAACATGCAATATAAATATTTATTTCGAAATGTTTCATGGATGCTATCTTGAACAAACTTTCAGACAATCTCAAACAGTGCCATTACATGCATGAATGCATCTATATGTGTAACAGTGGACCCATTTTAAATGGATTGCAGCTCTTATATCAACTTATCTTTGTACATACATGCATGAATGCATCTATATGTGGAAATGGATTGCAGCTCCTATATCAAATTATGTTGTACATACAAGCATGAATGCATCTATATGTGGAAATGGATTGCAGCTTTTATGTCAATATATGTTTGTACCACGGTCAATAGATTCCTTGCTGAAACTTGGAGCTAATTATCATTTCAGATCAGTATATAAAACTGTTCCAAATTGTGAACCCTGCCGTCCCGTGCAAAGATCTCCGATACAGGGGTTCTATCTAGCAGGTGATTACACAAAGCAAAAGTATTTAGCTTCCATGGAAGGAGCTGTCCTCTCAGGGAAGTTTTGTGCACAGTCTATTGTACAGGTACATTTTGCATTCCTTTGTTCTAAACTATCACTGGTATAAGTTTCACTACTTTTCTCTGCAAATTACTAACGTCTTAGATGCCCTACTTGTTGCCATGTACCGTTACAAGTTACTATATGACGACGAAAATGGATATTATCGGTTGTGTTTTGTATCAACACTCTAGTGTATTGAATTATGCAGGATTATGAGTTGCTTCAAACCCTGGGACAAAGAAAGTTGACCGAAGCAAGCATTCACTGATGTTCGTTAGATTGAAGTAAATAATTTACGTGTTACAGAGGATCTTTTGCAAATCAATTGTTTAAGGGCTATAGGTTGGTGGCCTTTTCCAATTTTATGTACTGTGTACCCCATATAAATCTGTTACTTGTGCAAAGACTGCATCAAAATTGGGTATAAAACTCTTTCCATGGAATATATATGATGTTCAATTTTTCTCTTTTTCCCATTGATGTTCGGAAACTAAAGATTTGATTGTTAACGTTATCGATTTATAACAAATCGGTCACTAGACGTTAATAGCCATTACTGGAGGTGTTGGAATGCTAATGTGGCAAATTAACCTGTTGACCTGGCACTATTTTTGTCATGCAAGACAACCTCCACAATGACTGGCATCCACTCCCCTCTTTAAAGACCTCAAAATTCCTAAAACTAGGCCTATAAACGAACCGAATGCTCACGAACGAAGGTATGTTTATGTTCGTTCATTTAATAAATAAACGAACACGAACATAAACGAACAAATTTTTTTTTGTTCATGTTCGTTTATTAAGGAATATAACTTGTTCATGTTGGTTTATTTAATAAATAAACCAACATAAACGAGCAAGAACATAAACGAACACAAATATAAATGAACACGAACATAAACGTTGGAGACCCTACCTAGGGATGTAAACGAGCTGAGTCGAGCTCGAGTATTGCTAAGCTCGACTCGAACTCGAAAACTTTCAAAGTCAGCTTTACTCGACTCGAAAACTCGCGAGCTTAAAATTATCAAGCTCGACTCGAACTCGAAATATAAAATTGAAACTCGAACTCGAAAAGGCTCGAACTCAAAAAAAATTTAAGAGCTCGATTAAAACTCGAGACTCGAGCTCAATTGAAGCTCGATTCAAGCTCGACATTGCCCCAAGCGCAAAGATGCTTAAACCTATTCTCCCCCATCTTCTTTTATATAAGTTACCAACCCCGAGCTGCTTGTTTGCTACTGATGTGGGATTGCATAATGTTCCTCTACTTTCTTTCTTCCTTTCTCCTTCAACAACAGTCGAGATGAACACAGATTGTGTTTCATGTGATTGTTGACCTTAACTCTTGGGGATCAAACAAACATGTCCTTAGCTTCGTGCTATGTAGAAGTTGAAAATTGGGAGATGAGAGAAGTAGGTTGGTTTATTGTTCACACCAACTCATACATCAAAAACCATTCTTTCTCGACTGGCTAAACTTACATATCCGGATGGCGCACAAATTTTGTTTGATGAAATGCGTTAAAGAACTTCTTAACCTATGGAATAAGATCTCACCATTATTGGGTTCTTAAGTTCAAAGTAAACTGACTTGAGTTGCTGGTTGATCACTATTTACTTATAAATTTGAATACTCCATTATATATGAAAGAAAAGAAGATTATTTGAGTAGAAGAAACGGTGCTTAATACTTAACATCCCTTTCGGAATCCATCACCTTTGGACTTGGTTTTGAAAGCACCAGTTTCTAGGACTCCTCTTTGCTCATCGGATAATCAGCTGGTGGCGCAGTCACATAGGGTTTCGGCGCAGTGGATGTTGACGGTGTTGGGTGCAGCTTATGGATCGTTCAAAAAGAACTAAACCATGTTAATATTGTTGGGTTTTCCAAATAAAATTGGGTTAATTATGGAGTTGGTCATCAGAATATCAGATTAATTAATATTTTTAAGATACTTACAATTGGTCACCAAAATTGATTTAAGAAGATTGGGTTAAACATAAATGAATGAACATAAACGAACATAACCGAACGTTCACGAACGTAAATGAACGAACGCGACCTATGTTCATGTTCGTTCATTTAATTAAACGAACACAAAATCTTGTTCATGTTCGTTCATTTAATAAATAAACGCACATAAACGAACTTCCGCTGTACGGTTCACTGAACGTTCAGTTCATTTACAGCCTACCTAAAACCTTAATTTGCCATTTGAGTCTGCAAAAGCTTTCCTGGATGGAGTTGATGGGTTTTTGTACTAAAGTGTACACTTTGGCTACCAAGAACGGATTCATTTTATTCTAGTTCATTCATATTGTTTCCAATATAATCTTGTTTTTACAATCAGGTCGTTTTATGGCCATAGCAACAGCCAAGCATACATCGGCTTGAATATAGATATTTAAAGAATGTAATTTCTCTGGATTTAAACATCCGTCAATACAATTTTAATTCTCTATCTATTTTTGCAGTGACCAGTTAAATATCTTGGCAACGACTAAGCATATCTTGTTCAATGTCCATGGAAACTGTCAAGTGGCGGTTTTCTTCGGGTTTAAGCACTTATCCAAATCGTGTTCCAAATCCACTCTCTTTTGTTGTGAACCATTTCAAGGACCACGGCAACATCCCAGCATAGTTCAGAGTGTAGCTTACGCATTTTTTTTATAAACAAAATGCCATTAAAACCCTGGGAGAAAAACAACGGAGAATCATCTCTCTCATTGGAAATAAAATGTTGGGTCATGAGACCTTTATGAATCAGCATCACCCCTTTGGTAACCCTGTAGTTCCCGATGAGAAGGTAAGGGCCACTACATCGTCGGGATTGTTCTTAACAGCTCGGATTTCATCCTCATCTATTTGACCAAACTGCAGACAACTTCGGTGGCATTCTATCGATAACTCGCTTTAGCAAAATTCTCCACTTTCTCTGTGTAACTGCTTGAGTTATAAGCAGCTTAGATTTCGACTTCGTCACCTGTTTCGCAATCTCCACCGGCTGTAAAAGGGATTGACGGTTGCTCTACGGAAGATGCACCGAGGAAAGCAAAGATGAATTCGAAATAGTTCTGAAGCAAAAGCATTACGACATCTCCTTGTTGGATGCCAAATTTGTTGAGACTTGCGACCATTTTACGAGAATGTTATTTTGACTCGTGTCTTATACGAATGTCTCAAAATACAAATATTAAGTTCCTTTTCGATAGGAAATTAATATATTTTATTACCAAATGTCTTTTTGACTCATGTCTTATACGAATGTCTCAAAATACAAATATTAAGTTCATTTCCGATAGGAAATTAATATATTTTATTACCATTACAAACCGCTCTCTTCTCTTTTTAGAGTGGAGGGCTTGACAATAGGTCGCAGGAGTGTGTGGCTGTCATATATTGTTGTGTTCTCTTTAGACAAATTGAAACCATCTATAATAATTAGCTGACCCTATTCCATATGTAATGTGGTAAGGGGGAGGTAGGGTAGTAGGCTACTCCCAACGCCAGGTTGAGAGCAGTTCCGTAGAATACCTCCGTTATGAATTGCCTTCAGTGGGACTCGATTCTCCGTTATGAAACCAGCCATAACTTTAATTAATTATTAAAATTGGATACAATATAAAAAGTTGGAATTAAACATTATATTGAATCTAATATTGAATTCGATCGAGACAAAACTATATTATAACAATAAAAATCTAAAATTTCTTATGATAGATGAGATAAATTTATTACATCACTTAATACATATCAACTTATATTTAAATTATTGTCAACACTATTTAATTCAAACCGTAACGCAAAATAAATATCTTTTTATAAATGTTAAATCATTTGCTGATATGTGGTTAATAATTTACCGTTTAAATAATTGCAATAGTAACTTAGTAAGAATGCATTCACACTAATTCAAGGACGGAGAAAGATTTTATATTAAAGGATGAATTTTTAAAACTTTAGGAGATAACGAATTTATAAAATTTTTAGAAGATAAAATAGATTTATAAAATATAAAAAATTAAAATATATAATAATTTAAAATTTTTGAGAGGATAAATGTAATATGTAAGAATGTATATGTATAGTATACGTTCTTTAGATGTATTTGGCTATAAACTTTAGTTTGATATATATGCAATTCTAATTATAAGATCTGTTATATGGGCACTTTATGTCTCTGAATTTCCTTTTTGACGGTAAAATATTTTAATTACGTATGTTGTATTTTCGAATATCTATCATTCTTTGAGAGAATTACTGTTGTGAAATTATCATAGTAAATTTCAAGATGTTTGGTAATGGTGTTAGTCACCCAACTTTTGAAATAAAATTTCATAACTAGATTCATTGTCACCTCATCTAACCTTCTACATCGCCTATACATTATAGCTAAATTTAGTTAGTTACATATCATATCTTTAAAAAAATCAAGAAATTTATACATCTTCAAATACAAAAATCTACTTATAAAATATTTATAATACAGTGAATAAAGTTTGTATTATATAAAATAATGCCTAAAATCATATAAATACCGAGTATGTAAAATTTCAACCATAACACATGTATCTGAATTATAACGTATATACAAAACTATTAGTAAAATCCAAACTTCAGTTTAGATTTTAATTTGATATTTTTAAAAATAAATAAAAGTGAGCACTAAACTTGTAATTTACCCTTAGAGTTTTGTTAGCTCTATTCTGCTTCATACAAACCTGAGATATCTTTTGCTTCTTCCTTAACAAAACCCACAGCACTAAGACCAAAAGGCTTTCTATGGCAGTAGTTTCAAGTGCTCATTCGAATATCATCTCCAAAACCTTCCTTTTTCACCACATTAATGGTTTTAAACGCTTCTCTTTTTGCTTACCCTTTTCTTCCTCTTCTGCTGCTTCTCTTTCTTCTAAGAAAAAATGCAGACAACCCGTGGCTTCCTCCGTGTTAGAGCTTGGTGGTATCAAAATTGCTAAAGATGGTACCAAAATGTTATATTTTTTGAATTTGGATTTTGCTGTGATGCTTCTATTGACTTTTATTTGAACTGGGTCATTTGAGTTTTCGCTGATATTGCAGTTTAACTAGACGAGCCTTTGTATTATTGCATTTTTCTTCTCTAGTATCAGTAAATATTTATGAGTAATGGGTATTCTCCCGTTAGTTTAATCTAATTTGGAGCCACCAAAATATGCCCTTTGGGCTTTGTGTGTTCAAGTTTATGTGTATTTGTTTGATATGATTTTTTTAATGGAAGATGTTTATAAGATGGTTAATCCTAGTGGATTGCAGCCGTATAGGTGTATGTTAAACGACTGAAAATTTTCTGCAATGGGAACTATTGTTGAACCTTTTTTCTCTCTTTTTTTGTCGGTTTAGATATTTTTATAGTATATGCTTCCATTTTTTTCCTGGTGAGTTTTGATTCATGAACTTACG